GCAGCATAACAGTAGCTCAGAGAGTAGCTGGATATTTGCTGCTTGAGATAGCCAGAAAGATTTGTAGCTATTGCCAGCCTCAGTACCATCAAGAGAAATTCTTATGAGTAAACAGGCATGTTTATGCCCTCCCTATTATCTACCGTAAAGTCCATTTCTTGATATTCCTACAATTGTACCAGCTAAAACCCTAAAGAAAAAGCATCTAGCTACAGAGAAACCACACATGCTGATGCCGCACACACACTGCGCACGATGGCGGAGGAAACGGAAACGTAGCTAATGCACGACCTTGGCTAATATACGACAAGATCGCTACCAACGACGCCTCTCATATCAAACGGTGATCTTGATAGGAAGTTCGCTTTCACCGGCACGACGAAACGCCGCACAGCTGCATGTCTATAATTGGCTCACTCGCAGACAACAAGAAAAACCAAAATGGACGGCCTCCTACTGGCATCGCTCGCAGCGTAGTGCGCCGAGCGTAGCAGGTAGTTGGGGTGCCCGCGCTGCCGTCTGCTGATCTCTATACGTACGATACGTCCGCATGCACGTACATGCGCACTAAGTTATGACCCGTCGCGCTTCTAGACTCAGATGCAGTAGCGGGCATAAGCTCGACAGCGACGCGGGAGTAGGCAACGCGGAACGCGACGTAGCTACAGCGTGTGCCAAATAAGCCGACACGTCATGGTGGCGCACATCGTGGCAGACGCGCTCGAGGGTGCGGGCTGCAGCTGAGTTTGCAGTTTCATACCGAGACCGACGCTTCGCGCCCACGACGAGTCTTTGAGTAGTTCGGAAACCCCAGAACCCCAAGGAACGACTACTGAGTCCCGAGCTATTATTCAGTAGAGTACGCATGGCGCACTGTCCGTATTTAGCATCGCCTCCCAAAAATATACACGTGGTCATATTACAATTAGGAGGAAAAAAAATATGAACAAAGCAAAATCAAACAAACAAACAAAGTGAGGTTCAGGACAAGCGTCAAGAAATGGGAGGGCGGGTGGCAGCACGGGTGGATCAATCGAAGCGTTTCCACGCCGGAGGGAGATGGCCAGCCTTTGGATACTAACTGACTGCACGACTCAATCGGCCAAGAGCGTTGGCCTATGAGGCGACCTATGTCATCGGCAGTTGTGATATTGTCTCCACGCGGGGCGCGCGGTTTTGTCGGTTTGGGGGGGGGTATGATCAATGCAGCGCCGTTGATTAGAGCATCATCTCTGACATTGTAATTTTACAAGGATACAAAAGTTTGAGTGACATGAGCGTTTCTAACAGTTCTTGTATTTTGAGGACCAGTAACTTCTCTTTTTTCTTCTGTTCTTCTTCTTCTTCTGTGTTGTATGAAGAACTAATGCCGACAACGACTGAGGAGAAATCCCACTGCGCTGCAGTCACTAGAAGGTTACAATGATGGAAACAGCGATCGAAGCTCCCGTAAATGGAAGCCCCAGGCATCGCCTTCGTCGAGGCAAGACAGCGCAAGACCTCGCGCGATACAGACATGCAGACAGATCCGCGCTCCTTCAATATCTGCCAGATGTACTCATGACCTCTGTAGAAGAAAGGAATATTTGAAAGCGCAGGAATTGAAAAAAACAACACTAAAAACGGAAGAAGATAATGGTTGCAAGTATTTTAGGATTTGGAGTCGTCTGTGAAACTTCTCAGTTGTGAAAACATTTCTATGAGTATGCATGCTTTAACATGTACGAAATGATGCAGAAAGAAGCTCTCCAACCAGCACACAACAGCATGCAATGACGTGATGGTAGCAAAGCACCAAAATAGACCTTTGGAAATTGATGTATCTGCACTGCGACATACGCTCTTATTACTACTAACGAAAGCTACGTACAGGAGGAAAGGCAAGGAGACCCCTTTTTTTTTTTTTTTTTTTTGGGTGCTTACCATCCCTTAATGTAATAACAACAGTCCTAGGGTGAAGCGTGATGAATGCTATAATCTAAATACCTTGTAAGGTCGAAATGCCAAGTGTGTGTTGTAGTCGTCCTGGTATCTCTTCCTCTCTGAGGAGTGCCAGATGTAGTCTTTACCGGTAACATGGAGTAACAGGAGTGTTAAATGTCAAAAGTAGAAAGTGATTTACACTTTTAGCTGAGTAACAGAAATATAAATTTCATATCAGACAGGTATCCGCTTACTTACAATAGGTAAACCACGATAATCAGTGGATCATCAGGGACACAGACAAATATAGTCCACCCAATGCCTTCGGTATGGAGAGCCATAATATAGAAATAGGTTACTGTTAGCTTAATTCCCTGTAGAATGTTCTTCTTGGAACTTTTATCCGCTTTTTTATTTTTTTTTCTATAGACAACCTGATTCCTGTTAACCACATTGCTACTCAAGTTCAAAATATCATTACCCTGTGTTTACAGTAGAGTGAGAGAAGGCATGAGATAAACGTGAAGGACAATTAATTAGTGATTCCATAGAGATTTAAAACAACTGTGAAGACCATGACCATAAGAAAATAGTGAAAAAGAAAAGTTTGTACAGGCATGAATAAAGTTATCTTATCTTTACAGTAACAGCAATAGTATCCTTATGCGCATTTTCATGTGTCAATGCATGTGTAGAGCAAATGCCTAATAGTTTAACTTTTGTGGGTGATTGTTATACCAGGTGAAGAGCATTGACTAGCAGTTTGTAAAAATACAATAGCTCTGAGTAATAACTATACTTTTGATGCTTGTGTTTATATACTCTGGCTTTCTTCTGTCATTGCACCACCTCATAGGTAACTTCTTCCGTTGGGCTGGTTATCTTGGTCAGAACATATGCCTCATTAGGAGAGACAGGAACATCAGTTGTCTTGGTGGTAGGGTTAGTGGCCTCTGCATAGGTCTCGGTCTTGTTCCTAGACCTTCTCATTCTGAAGATGAGTAGACATTGAGTGAGGATGACTGTGGTGAGGATCAGTAGGAGAGATACTGCTGACACAGCAATCACAGCTGAGCCACTGGACTCCTCACTACATGTACAGCCATTCTCGCTGTCTCCAGGAACTGGGGTAGGCACCAGTTGACCAGTGACTGGGGTAGGCACCAGTTGATCAGTGACTGAGGTAGGCACCAGTTGAATAAGTAACCTTTTCTTGAATATATAATTATATTTACACTACTAGGTAGAAAGTGACTTACCTATGCAAGTCCCAGCATCAGTGGGTTTGTAGTTGTCAATACATTTGCACCGAAGCTCCTTATTAACCAGCCAGACACCTCCAGAGCAGCATGTCACCTCCAGACTGGGGCTGAGTGGTACCGCGTTCTCCACACAGGCTGCAGTCACATTGACACATTCTCCTCCTTCACCAACTGTAGTCTTTGGATAGCGGACAAGCTCCGTTGTCATCGTATGCTCTGGACACTCATTACAGCCTGCATCGAAAATGGTCTCTCTCTAAGTGCACAGCATTGTACTACAAAGAGTTCTTGATTTTTGTAGTGTGATAAACTCACAAAGAGAAATGGAATACCCTGCCTGAGAACTCACCACAGCCCTTTCTCCTCTTGCAGCTAAATGCTTGATTAGATTTAGCCACACTGCAGCGACAAAAGATTGAGGACATTAGCTGATTCAATCCACCCAGTGTTCTGAATACGTGGTCTATGGGCCCCATGCCTACGACTTCTCACCGAAAATTGTACACTGAGTTTCGCCGTTTCATCATGTCCTGCTCTAATTTTACAGATACTCATCTACGGGACCAGCTTCATTAACCGCCACCACCTGCAGACAGTATCAATTAGTTAATACATTCAAGAACGAATGAACACATGTTTGGTGAGCGAGTGCCAATTTTTCATGCATACATAGACAGTAGCTATGTGCCCAGCGTCCATCACATATAGAAAATTCCTGCATTCAGACGACTGGGTATGCTCGCTATGCTCCTCAACTAACTTAAACAAATGGAAAAAGCAATAACACTTACCTCCATAAACAGGGTGGTACCAGATACTCCACGTAACTCTGGGGTATTTCCAATACGGAGAGGACTGCTCCTATCAAATCTTTCATTCCAGTCGTTCTTCCTGACGATCACTGATACTTGTCCAGCTCACAATCGCTTGGCGTCTCCGGCCGCTCCCACACTACCACCTGCTCAAAACACTGAAGGTCTTTGACAGGTCCAAACCCTACGAGCGTAAATTTTAAATGGCCATTAAAACATGGTTATGTTTCTGCCTATAAATAGCAGTAGAACCCAACCCCAGGGTCAAACCTGTGTTAAGCATACCAGAATGACTAAAGCACATAATATGGTAAGAAATGCACATTCCAGCTAATAAATTGGTTGCGCCATCCTACCCCAAATAGTGTCTACTAAAACAAAATTCGTTATAAGGTATCATCTTTAATGAATATGGTACTTAAAGGGCCGTCTTCCACTGCAATGATGGTAGAGTTGAACCCTTACATTCCTCTACAGTTGGACCCTAACATCCTTCCTTGTTCTGATGCATTGTGTCTCTAGTCCTGCTGTCTTACTAGTGGGGTCTGGTCGCTGACTCCATTCTCAGCCGTCACTCTAACACAGTAGTCTGTACATGGTCTGAGGCCAGTGAAAATGCGCATTTCCGTGAACCCAGGGACATACACGGTCCCAATGTATGACCCCAGGTTGTCTGGGTCACTTGATTTCCACCTGATAGTAGAGATCTGCTGTCCTCCCACCAAGGTCTGTGGTGCTGACCATTCGACAGTGTATACTCGTGTTAGTTGTGACAGTAACATCACTTGGAGCACTAGGCGGTTCTGAGCATGGAAAGAAGTTTTTACGTGGATTAAACTCAGTGTTCTTTTGCTTACTTGTGCATCCGTAGGTGAAATCTTCATCAACAGGGTTTTCATATTTTCTCTTTTCTGGTGAAGTTTCATTGTTTCTGAAGTAGCCAACTTTACAGGGACAGGAACAAGCAGCTCCCTGGGTTGTTGTAGTATTGGCAGGACACTGCAGGCACACTGTACCGGCTGACCAGTGATCAGCTGGACAGGCTATATATTATATGAAAAATGAAAAAGTGGATCATTTTCAAAGAATTGTCCTTACCATGGCACCTTGTAGCCTCCCTATTTGTTTCATAGCCGCATTTACACTGACACACAGGGGTCTCAGGACCCCGACCCCATGTTCCATCACTGCCACATGTGACTCTTGAGCTTCCAGAGACCACTGCATTCACAACACAACTGATATCAATATTTGCTGAGCCAGACATCGGAGCAGGAGCATCAGGATAGCGGACCAGTCCAGTCTGAAATGACTTGCAATTTTCACGATAGACTCTCAGTCTTGATAGAGCTATACATGACCCAATGTCCTGGAGAGCTATGTAGAACAACCAGTGGAAAGATGGAGCAGAAGGAAATTGTAGGTTTGGTGTAAGTCACGGGATGAATGAGGAAGCGAAGAGGTACTTCTGTACTGCAATATTTTCATAATTTTGGGGGGTATTATAGTATCCATTTCCACTGGGATAATGGGGAGCTGTGTGAGTTAGTCATGTAGTGGAGAAGATTGAATCTTTGTTACAACCTTGCTTTCTCTGCAACTCTTGCAATGAATAAATTTGCCTCTACATGTATCGCACATTATAGTTGTAAATGTTGGAGGTCAAAATCTGAACTGATAGTGTTGAGTAAAGAGCCAGTTATTCTGAGAAATACGACACCCATCTGCCTCCATCCACAAACTCGTGTCTAAATCGACAAATTCCTCAGCTCCTTGCTGCCACTGAAAATGCAAGTATAATGTTTACACCTTACTTTCTTTTAGCTAACTCAAAGTTGGGCTCAGTGTTTAGGGAAGTGACATCATTTCCATCAAACTGAAGTCATTCCAGACTGCAGTAGCTATGGGAGTTCCCAGTTCCATTTCCAGGTAAGAGGTTCTCATAGCTGTAACTGTCCATCAGATTCCTCACAAGTGTCGGGATATTGTGGGGGATTTGAGTGATCAGTTGTACATCGTGCATCCTCATCTCCCTGGAGCCTGCGAGCCCAGCACTAGGCTCAGATGAACACACAACAGAGCAAGACCGTGACCAATGATATCAACGGTCAAACCAATAGTTGGCATAGGTTTTAGCACTGTCCCACCAATAGGTCTGCTTAAGCTTCGTAATTCGCATTTTGGAAGGTAAGTAAATTGACGTTAAATGTGCTATGATTCAAGCGAAGATAGCGCCTGTGATGTCGCATTGCCCATGCCCAATCAATGACGTAGTTAGAATGGATACCTCATCGCGTCGCAGTCAGCAACGCGGAATGGAGGTGGCAGGAAGGCAATTATATCCTATTACTCGTAATCAGTAGTCATCTTAGTATTAATGTGCACATGTCACTTCAGGTTATAGTATAATCAGTTACACTCACATTTAGATGTGAGCAGTCGACCCAATGCACAGTCATGAAAAGTATTGACATGTAGCTAATATTTCTGCGCTAGCTCGCAAATTTAATGCCATATTTAGCCACGAAGGAGACAGATCAGCAAACAGTCGTGGTTGGACTCTTTAGTGACAGCATAATAGTCAACTACTGTACTGCTGTAAAGTTGCAGTCACTAGCTTAATCAGCTACTCACTCTTACAAACACTTCCCAGGATACGCATAGCTCAACACATGTACTATAGGAAGAGCAGTGATCAGTGAATGAAATTAGAAACAAACATTGGTTACTTGTAAAAAACAGCAGGTGGGCAGAAGGTATATACATAGCTACTGCAGACTTTGAGAATACTGTCTATGAGAGTGGAATCTAAACATGGAGGACAATCCATGCGAATGAAATGACAACACTCTCTCTAATAAGTCCACGTTACTTTTCAACCCACTACTCGAGACAGCAGTTCTTGCGCACAATTTATAGCTACCAGCACCTCACTAATATGTGAGACTTCTTCATGGTGCATTGGTGGGAATTCAGACGTATATGTAGCTGGCAGCATAACAGTGCCACAGCAGCTGGTATTTGGCTGATTCAGTGCCAGGAAGATTTGTAGCTATTGCCAAGCCTACCATCAAGAGAAATTCTTTTGAGTAACGGATCTACATGCATGTTCTTCCCTCCCAATATCAACAGTGAAGTCCATCAAATTGAATTCTTTATTCCTGTATACAACTGCACCAGCTAAAACCAAATAGAAAAAGTTAGCTAGCTACAGAGAACACAACAACGCGCTGCACAACATACGTTCGGAGGCCGTAAACATATATAGCATGCATGACCTTGGATACGAAAGAGAACACAAGGGACGTACCAACGCCGGCTTCATATCAACGGCAGTAATCTTGATAGAGGATCCCGTTTCACCGGCACGGAAAACGCGCGACTGGGTCTTACGAGCGAAATTGGCTCAACCCGAGCTAATTATGGTTTCTCCGATCGGGTACGCATGCGCACTTCCGCTAATTAGCTGACGCTGGCGTGCGCGCGTACCAGCCCCTAGGCCCTACGACGGCAGAGGAGGCCGCTTGATTGAGACATCATTACCCTCGGCGCGCATGCGCAGCGAGGGTACTGTAGTTACCCTCGGCGCGCATGCGCAGCGAGGGTACAGAAGTTAACCCTCGGTGCGCATGCGCAGCGAGGGTTACAGTACTTGGCTCTGTGTGTCTGTGTGTCTGTTACTCTCAATCTCACTTCTCGAGTGTTTGTTCGTCTCACAAAGGATACCACCTACTGAACGGGCAATGAAGGTCAGAAATTTCGAACTGTTTTCTCTGAAAACGCTCCGTTGCAAAGCTAGAGCGCAAAAAAGCCAATATGCACATACACAACGGCTTACTACGGCATGATCGACCCGCGTGCTCTGCGTACCTCGGAGGCACCAGAAGATGCAACGCAGAGCGTGTATCGCCTCTCGCATGCTATCTAGTAGTGTAGTTAGCCGCGTCAGACTCTGCGCGAGCTGGCAAGAGACCACGAGTAACAGCTAAAACTAAACCCAGCCCATCAATTAGTAGTACGGCGCATGCGTTTACTTACGCTGTGCGTCACAGCTGCGCCGAGGGTTTGCACTTCAGTGCTTTTCATTGGGTTTGTCTGTCTGTCTGTCTGTTACTCTCAATCTCACTTCTCGAATGTCTGTTCGTCTCACAAACGATACAACCTACTTAACCGGCAATGAAGGTCAGAAATTTCGAACGGTTTTCTCTGAAAATGCTCCGTTGCTAAAGCTAGAGCGCTTCCAGCATTATATGGCAAATGCCTGTAGTCGCCATTTTATCGCTGGCGGTTAATGCGCATGCGCTTATATTTAGCACAGGACCGGGTCCGCTTGCTCTGTCTATCTTGAAGGCACAAGAAGTCACAACGAGTGTCGTGTATCGACTATCGCGTGCTATCTACAACTGTAGCTAGCCCGCGTCAGACTCTCTGCGAGCTACTTCGCCGAGGGTTTGCACTTTAGTGCTTTTCATTGGGTTTGTCTGTCTGTCTGTTACTCTCAATCTCACTTCTCGAATGTCTGTTCGTCTCGCAAACGATACGACCTACCTAACGGGCAATGAAGGTCAGAAATTTCGAACGGTTTTCTCTGAAAATGCTTCGTTGCAAAGCTAGAGCGCTTCCGCCATTGTACGGCTAATGCTAGTCGGCCATTTTTATCGCTGCGGAAAATGCGCATGCGCTTATATTTTCAACAGGCTCAGGTCCGCTTGCTCTGTGTATCTTGAAGGCACGAGAAGTCACAACTAAGGGCGTGTATCGACTCCCACATCCTATAGATAAGTTGGGTATGCTCTGCTGATGAGGACCAACAAGCCTGAAACAGCTGTCCAGAGCTCCGCATCTTTTTTCTCTTGGCATCACATGGTGTATTTTGTTCATGCTATCTACTACTGTAGCTAGCCCGTGTCAGACGCTACTAGCGGGAGTATACTACATACTAATAGCAGCCCAGCCCATCAATTAGCGTGCCCAGTTCGCCGAGGGTTTTGCACTTTAGTGCTTTTCATCTCATACATTAGTAACTTACAAGGTTACAAAACAATAATAATGTTTGAGTGACATGAGCGTTTACAATAATCTTTATTTTGAGGACCAGTAACTTGGCTCTTTTCCTTTCTGTTTCTTCTTCTTCTTCTTCTTCGAGTGAGTATGAAGAACTAAGCCGACAACGACTGAGAGAAATCCCACTGCGGCTGCAGTTACTACGAAGGTTACAATGATGGAAACGGCGATCGAAGTCCCGTCAATGTAAGATTTATCGTTGGTCGAGGAAGAGAGCGGGCCTTGGGATACAGACATGCACAGTCCTGGCTCCTTCAGATCTGCCAGGCTGCTCCTGACCTCTGTAGAGAGCGTTTGAAGTACAGGAATTGAAAAAAAACTAAAAACGGAAGAAGATAATGGTTGCAGTTTTTAGGTTTGGGAGTCGTCTGTGAAACTTTCTCAGTGTGAAAACATTTTAGTGGAGTTATGCATGATTTTCTGTACAATGACGTGATGGTAGCAAAGCACAAAATAGCTTTGGAAATGATTATCTGCTGACATACGCTCTTTTACATAACGAAGCATAGTACAGGAGGAAAGGCAAGGAGACTCTAGGCGTGCTTCCTCCCTTATGTATACAACAGTCCTAGGTGAAGAGTGATTGATGTATACATTATACCTTGTAAGGTGAAAGCCAGTGTGTTGTTGTCGTTGTCGGTATCTCTTTCCTCTCTGAAGGAATTGCGATGTGACCTAACACGGAGTGTCAATGTCAAAGCGAAAGGTGATTTACACTTTTAGCTGGTAACAGAATAAACTTTCATATCAGACAGGTATCCGCTTACTTACAATAGGAAACCACGCTACTCAGGATTCATCAGGGACACAGACAAATTATGTCCACCCAATGCTTAGTATGGAGAGCCATAGAAATAAGTTTACTGTTAGCTTAATCGGGAATATTCTTTCTTGGAACTTTTATGCGAATTCTATAGCGACCTGGTTAACCACATGCTACTTAAGTTCAAAATATCATTACCCTGGTTTTACAGGATGAGTGAGATGAACGTGAAGACAAATTTAGTGATTCCATATATAGAGATTTAAAACAACTGTGAAGACCATGACCATAAGAAAATAGTGAAAAAGAAAAGTTTGTACCGGCATGAATAAAGTGCAAACCCTCGCGTCGGCGAACTGCGCTTGCGCGATAGCGCTAGTTGATGGGCTGGGCGTTGTATGTGTTTACTCGTAGTTTTCCGCTAGTAGCTCGACACGGGCTAGCTACGGTAGTAGAAAGCGTGCGGGAGTCAATACACGCCCTCGGTTTAGACTATTTGAGCCTCAAAGGTACGCAGAGCAAGCACATCTTGTCGAGGTAAGCCTGTGCTAATTTGCATACTTATTGGCTTGTTCACTTGGTTTTCACGCCATAACTTTTGAACGCAGTGTTTTTACGAATAATCGCCAGTTTAAAATCAAGCAAATGTAGCGCCGAACCCGTTGGCGTAGACGTTTGGCGATCTTGTTGCGCCTAGTGGCAGAAAACATGAACGGACACCAGACGCAAGTAGCTGCGCATGCGCGCCGAGGTTTATGATAGTCAGCATTTTCATACATGCATGTCAGTGCATGTGTAGAGCAAACGCGTAATGGTTTAAATATTGTGGGTGATTGTTTACACCAGTGAAAGTGCATTGACTAGCAGTTTGTATGGCTATGTTCTGTTAACCGAAATACATAATTAACCTCTGAGTAAAAACTATACTTTTTCATGCTTGTGTTTAATGTTTACTCCTGCTTTCTTCTGTCATTGCACCACCTCATAGATAACTTCTTCCGCTGGGCTGGTTATCTTGGTCAGAGCATATGCCTCATTAGGAGAGAAAGGAACATCAGTTGTCTTGGAGGTAGGATTAGTGGCCTCTGCATAGGTCTCAGTCTTGTTCATAGACCTCTTCATTCTGAAGATGAGGAGGCATTGAGTGAGGATGACTGTGGTGAGAGTGAGGATCAGCAGCAGAGATACTGCTGACACAGCAATCACAGCTGAGCTGCTGGACTCCTCACTACATGTACAGCCATTCTCTCTGTCTCCAGGACCTGGGGTAGGCACCAGTTGACCAGTGACTGAGGTAGGCACCAGTTGACCAGTAATTGATGTAGCTAGGTACCAGTTGAATAAGTAAATATATAGCATAATAATATATCAACTTTTTCTTCATAATTGATTAAACTAGGTCAAGTATGAGGAATCAGATAATACCTAATGCAGTAATACCTTATCCCCATTCTTAACCAGGTCGCTATAGAACTTTTATGCGATACAATTCTATAGCGACCTGGTTAAGAATGGGGATAAGCTATTAGTGCATTAGGTACAATCCGACTCCTCATAGCTACTTGCACAGTAGATAAGTCCTTATGCATCAAACTATAATAGTAAAGAAAAACCTAAGAGTTTACCTGGAGGAGACAGTGGAGTCTCGCTGGTGGCTGTACAAATGGAAGGGCACTCTGCAAAATTACAGCAAGAGTTCAAACATTATTTCGAAATTCTTTATCTGACCTGTTGTTGGGGGACATGTGGTTTCTGAACGGGAAAAACAAGAAAGCATTAGATCTAGAGTTTTTGTTATTGGTGTGACAAAATCACACTAATACCTACCAACGGTTTGACAAATCTGCCTCCCACTAACAGTGACTGCACGATATCCAGTATCACATTCACACTGAGGAGTTGTACCAGTCCAACTACCACTAGAGCTACACCTGACACTCAGACTAGAGCCAGTTCTGACGTGTGCATTGTCAGCACACTGTGTAGTGACAATCAACGATCCACTGGCTGGAGCTAGTGTAGTAGGATAGCGAACTAGACCAATGTTTCCAGCAGGGCATGTAGTTGGAGTAACACCTGTAAGAATAAAACAAATTTACTTTTAGTTAAAGACAATACAAAGATCCTTACTTTCAGTTTGACAAATCTGTCTCCCACTAACAGTGACTGCACGATATCCATCATTGCATTCACACTGAGGAGTTGTACCAGACCAGCTACCACTAGAAGTGCACCTGACACTCAGACTAAAGCCAGTTCTGACATGAGCATTGTCAGCACACTGTGTAGTGACAGCCACTGATCCACTGGCTGGAGCTAGTGTAGTAGGATAGCGAACTAGACCAACATTTCTAGCAGGGCATGTAGTTGCAGTAACACCTGTAAGAAAGAAAGTGATTTACTTTTAGAATAATAGTACTAAGATTCTTACTTTGAGTTTGACAAATCTGCCTCCCACTAACAGTGACTGCACGATATCCAGTATCACATTCACACTGAGGAGTTGTACCAGTCCAGCTACCACTAGAGCTACACCTGACACTCAGACTAAAGCCAGTTCTGACGTGAGCATTGTCAGCACACTGTGTAGTGACAGCCGCTGATCCACTGGCTGGAGCTAGTGTAGTAGGATAGCGAACTAGACCCACAGTTCTAGCTGTGCAAGTAGTCGGGGTACCTTTGGAAAACAGAGTAAGTCATTTGAAAGATGGTAGCTAGCTACTAAATAATGCTTACTTTGACAAATCTGCCTCCCACTAACAGTGACTGCACTATATCCATCGTTGCATTCACACTGAGGAGTTGTACCAGTCCAACTACCACTAGAGCTACACCTGACACTCAGACTAAAGCCAGTTCTGACGTGAGCATTGTCAGCACACTGTGTAGTGACAGCCGCTGATCCACTGGCTGGACCTAGTGTAGTAGGATAGCGAACTAGACCAATATTTCTAGCAGGGCATGTAGTTGCAGTAACACCTGTAAGAAAAAAGCAATTTACTTTTAGTTAAAGACGGTACAAAGATCCTTACTTTGAGTTTGACAAATCTGTCTCCCACTCACAGTGACTGCACGATATCCATCATTGCATTCACACTGAGGAGTTGTACCAGACCAGCTACCACTAGAAGTGCACCTGACACTTAGACTAAAACCAGTTCTGACGTGAGCATTGTCGGCACACTGTGTAGTGACAGCCACTGATCCACTGGCTGGAGCTAGTGTAGTAGGATAGCGAACTAGACCAATATTTCTAGCAGGGCATGTAGTTGCAGTAACACCTGTAAGAAAGAAAGTGATTTACTTTTAGAATAATAGTACTGAAATTCTTACTTTGAGTTTGACAAATCTGCCTCCCACTGACAGTGATTGCACGATATCCAGTATCACATTCACACTGAGGAGTTGTACCAGACCAGCTACCACTAGAAGTGCACCTGACACTCAGACTAAAGCCAGTTCTGACATGAGCATTGTCAGCACACTGTGTAGTGACAGCCACTGATCCACTGGCTGGAGCTAGTGTAGTAGGATAGCGAACTAGACCAATATTTCTAGCAGGGCATGTAGTTGCAGTAACACCTGTAAGAAAAAAGCAATTTACTTTTAGTTAAAGACGGTACAAAGATCCTTACTTTGAGTTTGACAAATCTGTCTCCCACTCACAGTGACTGCACGATATCCATCATTGCATTCACACTGAGGAGTTGTACCAGACCAGCTACCACTAGAAGTGCACCTGACACTTAGACTAAAACCAGTTCTGACGTGAGCATTGTCGGCACACTGTGTAGTGACAGCCACTGATCCACTGGCTGGAGCTAGTGTAGTAGGATAGCGAATTAGACCAATATTTCTAGCAGGGCATGTAGTTGCAGTAACACCTGTAAGAAAGAAAGTGATTTACTTTTAGAATAATAGTACTGAATTCTTACTTTGAGTTTGACAAATCTGCCTCCCACTGACAGTGATTGCACGATATCCAGTATCACACATTCAACACTGAGGAGTTGTACCAGACCAGCTACCACTAGAAGTGCACCTGACACTCAGACTAAAGCCAGTTCTGACATGAGCATTGTCAGCACACTGTGTAGTGACAGCCACTGATCCACTGGCTGGAGCTAGTGTAGTAGGATAGCGAACTAGACCAATATTCTAGCAGGGCATGTAGTTGCAGTAACACCTGTAAGAAAGAAAGTGATTTACTTTTAGAATAATAGTACTGAAATTCTTACTTTGAGTTTGACAAATCTGCCTCCCACTAACAGTGACTGCACGATATCCAGTATCACATTCACACTGAGGAGTTGTACCAGTCCAGCTACACTAGAGCTACACCTGACACTCAGACTAAAGCCATTCCTGACATGAGCATTGTCAGCACACTGTGTAGTGACAGTCACTGATCACTTGTAGAGGCAATTGTGGCAGGATATCGAACTAGACCCACACTTGTCTGGCACACTGTAAAAACAGACCAAAGCAACTTCAACCCTTGGTTTTGGTAAAATATAGCACATACCTAGGGGTGGCGGAGGTGTTGCTGGAGTAAAA